TCTCATTCTTCACTTGCACATTTTGGAGTACGTGCGTTGGAGTCTTGCGTGGGGAGCTGCGTTGTGCCATCTCGCTGCCCCCCCCTTCTTCCTCCATCTCCATCTGTGTCACTAGCGGAGCACCACACCTGGTGGGTCCGCTACATCCCCTCACACAAGCTTGGCTGGGAGTTTAGCACTGCAGCCCGACTCCAAGTAGGTGCCCGCTTCCCCTTTTTAGCGCTTGCTGACCTTCGAAAATGCTGGAATGTATCTTCCGCCGAAGCACGGGAAGATACATTACCCTAGTCAAACTCTTGCCCCCCTTTTGCCAATGAGCCTTCTTTAAATCTGACAGACTATACGACGTAATTTGTCCCTTACCCACTGCGCAAAAAAGGGGGGGTGAATCTTCCCCGAAATATGGGAAGGTTCACGTTACTTCAAAAAAAAAAACGACCATTCAATCCGGGCGCAGCCCTTACTCATGGCATCTTGAAAGACCGCCTCAAAGATCGAAAACTGAAACCACGATCCACTTCGCCCTCCTGAGAAATATCGGACTCGGCTTTGTCCCTGCCGAAATTCGTTAAGTAAGACAACCGTACAACCACTTTTTGCCTCGCTCTCTCTCCGCTTTCCCATCCATACTACTTCAGCGAGCCTCCCTGCAGTCTACTCTTTCTCTACCGCCTTCTCTACTACCCCAATGCCAAGGCTAACCTCGCCACCGTGTTTGCGACAGCCGAAAACCCCAAAGTAACCTTCTCCCATGCTCGATTCCTTCGAGAATCGAGTGGGCTAGTTGTTTCCTACCCCCACCATCGCTCATCTTCCCGATAGCTCCGCGCAGTGCCTCTCCCAACTAACTTCTTTCCTACTCCCCCTACCTCTGTTCTTTCTTCAGAATCGGGGTCGCCCACCCCCAAAACCTCTATCTAACCTTTTCTTTCACTCGATTCCCTCAAGAATCGAGTGAATTCTCGGTTCTTCATTCCTAGCTTTCCCTCCTCCCGCCGTATCCCCGACGCACCACTTCTACTACTAACCCCTAATCTTACTAACTTATTATAAAAACTGACGTTACTATCTAACTCGCCCGCCTCAAAAACCCCCATTTCAGGTCTTTCCCCGCCCGGTTTTGATGAGAAACGCGCGTGTTACAGTTCTCCCCTCCCCATAGCCACACTCACCCCTGTCTCCGAATGCACCTGGGCGCGGATCTCGCTCAAGTTCCTTCACCTCACTTCACTGCCCTGCCTTTGCTTCTCCTGCCTCAGCGCTTGTTGCCTGCCTGCGCAATTGCCCGATACTGCCCTTACCGCTGCCCACTTCAGCGCCCGTTGTTGCTCTCCTTGTTACTGCGCTCTGCCCAACTGCGCATGCGCCCTGCGCGACATGCAGTCCAGGTTCATCTCCTCTCCTCCGAGCCTTCGTTCCCCGTCTCCACGCTCTTCTCTTCTGCGCCCGTCACCTCAGCACACCGTTTCTCCTCTCCCTCTCTAACTCGTTTCTGTTGTGCTTTCTACCCTACCGCCCGCTTTCTACCTTCCCCTCCCGCTTTGCCATTCCATCCTCCGAATGTACCCCGGCGTGGAACCCGTCCGGGTTCCCTCCCTTCTCGTTGCCGCGCCCGCTGCCTCGCTGCCCGCTACCGATGCCGTACCTGCGCAGGGCTCGCCCCGCTCGAGGTTCCCCTTGGCTGGCGCATTACTCAACAGCCGCCGGCCCGCTCGCACCACGCACGCACCCGGCGCGATACTCCGTCCCGGTCCACCCTCCTTCTCGGCTCCCCCATCCTGTGCTCACCTCCTTCAAGCCGACAGCGCCGCAAAAGCCAGTACTACGCTTGCTTCCCTATCCCCGTCTCCGACCCGCCTATTGCAGCGCCCGGTCTTGGTGTCGGGCAGTAGAACCGCCCGCGGTTCCTCTTCCACCCCGAGGGAAGCTTCGGCGGGAACCGGCGACTAGCCTTTTCGTCCCCTGCGCCCCAGCCCGACTTAACAACTGGCGGGCTCGCTTCTTGTGTTCCTCCCTGGCCCGTCTGCTGCGCTGTTCCGCAGGCACTCCCAGGCCTTTACTGTGTCGCTCTACAGGTAGGGGGCCGCTGTGCGGCGCGGGACCGATATGGTTCCCGCACGCCCCCCTTATTAGAGGCCTGAGCACAAGCGTTGTTACTACGGGGTCTCCTACGACAACAACACACCCCCACGCTGCCCCGGCACGCTTGAAATGAAGACAAATACTAATAAAATTAAAATAATGACCATGAAAGTTCAAACTAGAGCCGCCCGGCAAGGGAAAAAATATAAATGCCGCCCCTCGCCCTACCGCGCACCCCCACGGACCGCAAAACCACAAGGGATAGCCCCGTCGGGCCCTCCGCACTATTCCAACACCCCTGTGTCGTCGCCGCTCGGCCTCGATCCCTAAATCTCCTTGACGAAAATCCGATACTATAACCGATAGCACTAGGTCCAAGGCTAGGTTTAGCTCTGGCGGTTGTCTAAATAAATGGACACCGCACGAC